GCTTGGCCTAGAGGTTGGTGTTCTAGCTGGGGAAGGTCTCCGTCCTATACCCAGGCCTTCCTGTAGTTCCATGTGTGTCCTTGTGGGGCTGGTTTCATCTTTCAGCTGGTAGACTTGTCCCCAGAAATTCATCACCAGAAACTTTCTTTTGACTTCTCTTCCCCTTTCTTGGTTTGGACTCTCATAGCCAGGCTTCTCTTATCTGTGCTCTTCAGTAGCCTTTATCTGCCTGTTATCTCTCTATGACTTTGCACACTCGTGAGCACCACTCCACTGCTAGACAGTGTTCTTCTAGTTGGGGCACAAGCAAGCTTCTCAACCCACGGGCAGAGGGCCAGCAGCCGCCAGTGAGTTAAAGTTCTGCTTCAGAGACGGTCTCTCTTCCCCCAAGGGACCTGTGGGCCCACAGACAGGTCACCCCCACTGTGTGAGGCCTTCCTTGGTTTACCTCAACGGACTGTCAAATACTGTTGATCTGCGTACCATGAAATGGTAAGGGTGGGCAAGCTCTGTGGGCTAAAGATAACTATGTTCTAGTCTGTAAGCCATGTGCCCAAGTTTCGTGATATATACCTGATATCGTTTAGCTCCTGGCCCTCCGCAAAGTTTCATTGAAAACTTGTAATCATGTCCTAGCTGTGTGTGAAGAGGAGAAATAAAAGGCGTGTACTGGTGGCCTGGGGGGTCTGGAGGTGAGGGGCGACGGGGGGTGGGGAGGACAGCTGGGTTGTGGTGGTGGTAACAATAGCTGGTGAGAGACTCCAAAGGGAAAGCGAATTCCGGGAGAATCAGGCCTGCTGCTCCCGCTCTCACGTGGGCTGTCCCTCCACGGATACAGAAGGGAATCTCCATGTCCTTTCACTGAGGCAAACAACATCGCCTATTCCTTTCTCCTCCCCGGCCACCACCCCCTCCTCTGCCCCGCCCCCTCCCGCGTGGTTTTTGCTTCTCACATAGTACATGGCACGTACCTGTTTGCTTCTTTCTGATGCCCAAGGCCACGAGCTTCCTGATGAACATGATGACATCTTTTAGCTCTTTTATTCCCAGTAAGCAACCCAGGGACCCATGCAGAGCAGGCAGGAAATGACCCTCATTGGATGTAGGGCTGCAGGGCAGTGCCTGTCTGGTGTGGTTGTACAGCTTGTGGAAATGCTTAGCGGCAGCCCTGAGCTTTGAGTGCTTCCTGCCACCCCAGTGCCCTGACCTCTCCCCCAGTCTCCTGTGCTTGACCGTGACCCAGCAACTAACATGTTGATGGTTGATCCAGCAGGGGGCCTCCAAGACCCTGCTCTAGGGTACTGGCGTTTGTTTGGATTGGTTGGTGCCCATAATATACCAGATGTTAAATAATTTTACTATCATCCCTGGGTGAATGAATGAATGAATGAGTGGCCTTGGTTTCCTTCTCCTCCCGTTGCACTTGAGTGACCCCAGACCACACTTAGCCCCCAATTACCTCTACCTGAGAACAAGCACTGGGTCTCTCAGCCCTTTGGACCATATAACTACAGGGCTAGAGCCTACATTATGGTATCACTGCCCAGATACATATAGTTCAAGTGATTGATTTTTGGATTCTGTATGTTGCCTCAACTGAAAAATAGGAGAGCCTTGTTTGAAATGGAGCATATATTATCTTATGTGCTTAACCCTTTAAACCAGAAATGGCTCTTAATTTGAATTGCAAAGTCCACGTCATCCTCTCCCCAGCAGTGTTTACTTTCTGCCAGACTGTTACAAGGGTTATTTTCCTGGTGTGCTAATCTGTGTATGTAAGCAGTGTGTTAATGATTTGGGATGCTAAATAGGTTTCCTATGTACTTATTGATCCGTCCGGAAAAAGCACCATACCTACTTTCTGTTTATTTATGGAGCAATTATACCATCTGCCCCCCAAGCCTTCACAGGCTCACTGAGGCAGCAGAAAGTTACTCAGAAGAGCATTATCCCAGAGACATCACGGGCATGAAGAGGCCAAGTGCCCTGAGGATTTTCACGCATCAAGAAGAAAAGTTCTGTATTTTCCCCGTAAACTTGTGATGCCCAAGCCCCTGTGTACTTACTTTACCCCCGTTCCCACCCTCCAAGAGCCATGAATTTGGTGATGGTGATTTAAAGAGCACTTGAGTTTCTCTTAGGCTGGTGAGTGGCACAGATAAGAAATCTGTTGCTATACCACCTAGCTGAGTCAACTATTATTTTTAGTATTTCAGAGGACTAGCAACTAGTTAGGTGAACTAGTACCTAGTTCATTTCCTCAGAGTTGGAATTAGAGATACAAGAAATTTCTGAGCATGTGACCAGAACTGTTAGTTCATTTAAACATTTACCTGGTTTTTTCCCCTTTATTTTTGAATGTAAGAAAAGAGGAAAATACATCTAGAAAGCAGTTTTTATTTCATAGGTTATTTCTTCTTAAAAATACATGGTTGAATGCACAACAATGTGAAAGTATTGAATGCCATTGACTTGTACACTTGATAAAAATGGAAAATTTTATGTTATGTATATTTCACCCCAATAAAAAGACAAAAATACATAATTGCAATAATATTATATAGGCAATATTATCTTGGCTTTTAAACATAACATTATGCTATAATCATTTTTCCATGCCATTGTATATTAGAAAACTTGACTGTCTATGGGATTGATTTATTCAACAAAGATTTATTACATATTAGTGAGGTACCAAGTACTGTTTTAGGCTGTCGAGATAAAGCAATAAATGAGACCAAGGAGAGACTGGGACGAAAGCAGCTTCTATTCCAGCCAGGAGAGATGGGCAGGTCAAGGAAGCAAACTCAAGAAGACTGTGTAAGTGGCTGAATGGAATGCAGTCGGGTGGCGATGGAAAGCAGCCCCAGGGGGTTTGGAAAGAATCACCATCATAGGGTGGGGAGGATGCCACATGTAATGGAGCCCAAGAAGCTGAGAACAAGCCAACAGGTGAATGGAGGGCTGAGGAGCTGCGTTCCCGGCAGAGGGAAAAGAAAGCGCAAAGATCTTGAAGCAGGAGAGAACCAAGGAGTCGAGAGGAGGCAAGAGCAACTGATCCTCAGCTGGAGAGTGAGTGGTGTCTGACCAGGATGGGGAGGGACAGAGCAGAGAGCCTCCCGGGCCATGTTGTGGGGTTTAGATTGTGTTGTAAGCACCGGACAAAAAGAGCAGTTTTAAACAAGTCAGTGACATGCTTTGCAAAGCATGCTCTGATCCTTATAGATCAGAGGCAGCTGGAGTGTGAGGGTCAGTCCTGCTAGGAGGCTGACCAGGGGAGAGATGATAATGGGCGATCCTGTCCCTGCCCCGTCCCCCACCCCCACCCCACAGCTGCACAGCAGGGCACCTCCTTCCTGACCTGGAGGGCAGCTCCACTGAAGCCTTCCTCTGGGGATCACTGGCTTGTTAGCGGATGGGGAGAGAGACAAAGAGAAAGGCAAGTGTGCTTCCTTATCCATCTCCCCGAGAGGGTCAGGGCAAAGCAGGGGCTGTGGTACCTAACGTAAGTACAAGGTCGGCATGCTCAGTGGTTCCGCGCTATGATTTTGGAGTCAGTTGATTTTGGTCAGATGCCTGCCTTTATGACCACTCTCAAGCAAACTGCTTTTTTATGGAGCAGTTTCTTTATTTGTAATAGTGGGGATAATTGTACTTACCTAAAAATACTCTGAGGCATAAATGCATACAAAGTGCTTTACTTATGTCTTCATGTGTGTAGCAAGCCCCCAATAAATGGTAGCTATTATTCATGACAAAAAAAGCCAGACTTGAAAGCATAATGATGAACGGATGGGTACTTTTCAAAACTCTACTGATGAAAACAAGTTCAGGAATCAATTTCAGCATGATGCGTTTCAGAGCTGTTTAGTAGATCTGCTCCAGACTCCTCAGAAGTCATAACTGTGCTAGCTTTTCAACTTGGCAAAGCTTTATTTCTACAAAGAGCAAAAGTATGTCATTCCACACACAAGTACTTAGATTTATAAGGATATTGGGTATTTATGGATACTCAGCTAAAAATAACCAAAGTCTGTTTCTACTATGTGTCAAAAAAAGCAAATTGAAATAGCAAGACTTTCTCTTTTATTCATCAAAATATTTCCAAAACTGCGGAAGCAAAATAAAAATTATTTACATGAGCTATGTAAGGATGGAGAGATTAAGGTAGAAGTCATCTTGTTTTCTGAAATTTCTGTAATATGTGTAAGTGACTATTATAATGAAAAATACTCTAAATCATCATGAAAACTAAATAACAGGAGAAAAACTTCTATTTTATCATCATCCTAGGGCTGTGAATAAAAAAAAAAGAATCCATTCTATTTTTATTTCTAAAAGAAGGTTTAGAATGTTCTTTTTGGATTCATGTGACAATTATGTGAAATGACATTAGACTGGGCCTAAAATCTTCGCCCAAATGCAAATAGTAGAGGTTGGCAGCTAATCCATGGACTGAGGGGAAAGAAAACTCTAGGCTTATTTTCAGAACTGTTTCACAATGTCAAAATGTCAGGTTGTGTTGAGATTCAGGATCCAGGTTTAAGACGTTTTTACGTGAATAATAACCACCTGATGTGTCTGAGGGGACCGGGGATATAAGCACTATGGTTCAAAGATCTGTGTGATCAGAAGCTCAGAATCGATGTGTCATCCTCCCCAGCTCAGTGCTGATCAAGCAGGACCTGCCGAGCTAGTGAGACACAAAGGCGCACCTCACCCAGCTTCTTGGCAAGCCCCAGGCTGGGAAGTCGCCCCAACTCCTCCTCACTCACCTCCCACGTCCAGTTGGCAATGAGGCCTGGGAGGCTTCATCCCCTTGCCACCACATAAAGCACCCTGTTTCAGCCCTCCTTCCTTCACTCTCGGGTTATGGCAGTGGTATCCTTGCGGGCCTGAGATGAATGCAATCTGTTCACGGTCTGCTTTCAGCCTTTCAGTGATTTCCCATCATGTCCGAGCCTCCTCCACACACTTTCCACCTCGGGATAGCTTGTTTCAGTCTCCCTGTGTCTAGAATCTCCTCCCCTCTTCTAGCTAACTCCCACAAGTCTTTCAAAGTCGGGGTCCAGCCCACTTCTCTCTCTGCAAGTCTTCAAAGACTTCCCATTCTGATTTCAAAGCCTTTCTCCGCTCCCAAATCATCCCCCGCAGGCCCCTACCTTGGCATGAGTCACGCTGTGCTGCCATTGTAATTCATGGCCCCAGTCAACAGGCCACCAGGGGCAAGGGCCTTGGGTGCTCAGCAGCACTTCTCTGGGGCCTAAGCCATCCTGGCACTTGGCACAGTTTTTGGGCATTTATAAATAATAACTCATACAATTCTCATGATAGTACATGGTTATTAGAAGAATATATAAACATTCATCCAACAAATGTATATTAAGTGTCCAGCAGGTGCCAGATACAATTTTAGGCTCGGGAATTCAGCAATGAACAAGACACAGAAACTTCTGGTCTCAGTGAGTTTATAGTCTATTGAGGCAAATGGATGATAAAGAGATAAACAGGTCTCTAATATGAAGTGAGGCCGGGAGAGGAGCTAGAAAGAAAAATAAAGCCAGACAAAGTGGTGAAATGGGACAGAGAGCTCATTTTAGATAGGATGGTCAGGCAAAGGCAACTTGAGGAGGGGACATGTGAGGAGAGACCTGAGTAACGTGAGTGAGTCACGTGCATACGTGTGGAGGGTGGAGATGGGAGTGGGCAGAGGAAACAGCTAGTGCAAAGGCCCTGAGACAAGAATGGGCTCAGTTGGCATAGCCCACAGCGAGGAGGCCAGCATGCTGGGATGCAGGGTGTGGGGCGGAAAGTGGTAGGAGATGAGATGTAACAGGCGGAGGTGGGGTGGTTAGGTCAGGTACAGCTTTCCAGGCCATCCTGAGGACTTCGGTGTTTATTCACTGGTAGGTGTCAAGCCTGGTGGGACATGATCTGACTTACCTCTTAAATGATCACCCTGGCTGCTGAGTGGTGAACACGGACTATGGGAAGCAAGAGTGGAAGCAGGTGGACAGACAGTGAGGAGGCAAAGCTGTGGTCCAGGTAGTGATGCTGCTGCCTGGGGCTCCCTGACTGCAGCAGACAAGTCGTCAGACTGGATGGGTCGCGAAAGCAGAGCAGACAGCGTCTGCTGATGCAGGCTTTCGAGTGTATGAGACAGAGGAGTCCTGGATGGTTCCAAGATTTCTGGCCAGCTGGTGGGCCAGTGGCACCATTTGTTGAGGTGGGGAAAATTGAGGGAGAAGTGGTTTGGGAGGGTTAGAAATGAAGCATTCTGTGCTAGACCCATAAATCTGAGTTGAGTTCCCTTTAAAAGAACACAGAATTTCCTCTGATTGGCTAGATGTTGCTGCCCTTGTACAATTATCTCTCACATCAAGAAATGATGTTGGTAACAGACTCTCACTCTCTCTCTCTCTCTCTCTCTCTCTATAAACGTTTATGGAGAGCTTAGTATGTGCCAGACACCATTCTAAGGACTTTATAAAACTAACTCATAGAATCCCCCCAAATCCTTAGCGGTATATACCATTATTATTCTCATTTTAGGGGTTAAACTGGCCCAGAGAGGTGCAGTAATTTGCTTAAGATCCTCCAGCTAGTAAATAATACAGCCCAGAGTCAACCGCAGGTGCTCCAGCTCCGCTTCCAACCCCAACGCCCAGCTGCACATCTCCTGTTCCATGTGAATGGGGCCATCTTTGACACGTGACCCCGCCTCTGGGTACCGAGCCTTGAGTCTAACACCATTGCCCGCACCCCCGCCCCCGTGGGCGTTCCTGCCTCGGTGCTTACCAAACCTTTGCTCTAAAGAAGCCTGTCAGTATTGGTGGCTACGCCCCTTTTGTCTCAGTCACCCCAGCACTCAATGTCCTCGCTGCCTTTCCTCTAACACCCTGAGGTCAGCCTCCTCCCTGTATTGTTACACACAGGCTTTTTTGGTTTCCTGCTCTCTCCAAGCGCCCCGCCTCACTGCCAGTTGTTACAAGTTGTTTTAAAAGCTTCTACAGATCTCGCTTTTCACCCCTGTGTTCCAGCCGACCTTGTACCACATTGAGCTGAGTGCTGAAGACAAGAGACGAACACGACAGGACGCCTGACCTCTCCAGAAACTTTGAACTAGAGGCTAGGTCCCATGCCTTTTAGGTTGCGTCCCCCCTCCCAGCACCAAGTGGCCGCAAAGCGGGCAATCAGTGAACATTCATTTATTTAGCAAATGTTTATTGAGTGCTCTTACTACAGGCCAGGTAGGCAGCGTGATAGGAGCCCAGGATATGGCGGGAAACCGGACTGCGCAGGGTTCCCACGGGTCCAGAGAAGCGGGACGACCCTCGTCCTGGCTCTGGCTCCTACGCGAGGACTCGGGAAGGGAGCAGAGGCTTGAGGTGGGGGCCGCGGGAAGTGGCGGCGAAGGAGCCAAGCTCGAGGCGAGAGGCTGGCGTATCTTCTGACTAAGCGACCCCTCGTTTCGAAAACCGGACGCCACACAGGACGTGCCGCAGCCGCTTCGGGAACCCCTACCTCACTGCCGTCGCCTAGCACAGCAGCGTCTACGGGGGCGCCGGCCTCTCCGGGAAGCAGGGCTTATCCAGACAAGACTGTTGGGGAGGAAGGCGGCTGGACGGTGCTTGCGTGGCCGGCGGGTGGGGCGCACAATCGGAGCAGTTTCTCTTAGAAGGAGAGGGGAGAACTCCTCAGCTCGTTGCCCGAACTCTGGAGCCTGGATTCCCATCCCAGGCCTGTTGCTTACCTGCTGTGCGACCTTGCTCAAGTCCCTTCCCAGGACTCAGTTACATCGTCGGTTAAATGGGTTTTCAATTAATTTAGGGTTGGTGCGAGAATTAAGAGAGAGAGAATGCCTGGAAAGCTTCCCTAGCTTGGTTCCCAGCCTGGAGGAAGCGCTCCGGGAGCGGAGGTGGTAATTACCCACTGCTCACACCTCGCCGCGTCCCTTGGCCTCCCACGGGCTGGGGCGCCCGCTGCTCTCTTCCGAGGCACCGACGACTAGCCTATTAGGGCGCGCCCTGCCTTGATAGATTTATTGGCTTGCTTGGGGCGGGGTTTGGAAAGAAGCGAGGAGAAGGAGGTGGTGGAGGGCGAAGAAAGGGAAGACGCGAGTGGCAGGAGGCGAGCGAGGCGGGGTTGGGGAGGAGCCCGGCGTGTTCCTGGGCCCCGGCGCAGCGCGCACCCGGAGCCCGCGGCGGCGGG